TACCAGGAACGTTTATATACGAGTATACCAGAAACGTTTATATACGAGTATACCAGAAACGTTTATATACGAGTATACCAGAAACGTTTATATACGAGTATACCAGAAACATTTATATACGAGTATACCAGAAACGTTTATATACGAGTATACCAGAAACGTTTATATACGAGTATACCAGGAACGTTTCATAACAGATACACTTACTTTCTATCGCCTGCTGCATCTCAATCTTACAGATGTCAAAAGTGACATGGACAATTTACAGATTGTTCATACTTACAATAATGTTAGGTAAATCAACATTTAATGTACAGAATGTTTTAACTATACTACAATAAATGCTACTGATAAGCAAAGACCATCACTTTCATTTGAGATAAGTTTCTTTGTATAAATCAATTATACAAAATGTATTTCATATTAATGCGTGTAGTTCTAAAATATCAAAGCTTATTAGGAAATATTTTCTGTATCAATCTATCAGATTATGTGTGTTTCCACCAGCTGCTGACTGACCCTGACATCACTCGGGAGATAAACAGAGAAAGGAAGTGTACGCTGTAGGGGTTTAGTGGTTGTAATTCCTGATGTCCTATCAATGATATGTTGGGTGGTTTTTTTTGCACTTGTCTGCTTAAAACTCTTTTATCCTGTAAAGAAATGAATATTAAGAAATGAATAACAAAATTCCAATTTCCACAAGATCTTTATTGATTAGAACTGGTAATCACTTATTATGAGAAATATGATTTTAAGTTACTTTATGTGACTTCTCCGTTCATGTTGCCTATTCATGAAACACTCTGTAATCAATAGCATTTGTGAGAATTGTACAAAGCCTTTTACCACGGTATTAATCACATGTCTTCATTAGGTGTCTCCAGTCATTAATATGTAAAATAGTTAAAACGAGTACATAAAACTCGTTATAGGTAATATAAGGGTTAAATCTTACCAAAAACAGTGTAAAAAGTTAATGATGCATCAAATACCTTAAGCAATGTCTATTCAAATCCAAATTTCCCAGATATGTACACTAACGACCTGTCCTCAAGGTAGTAGTTAAATAAACTGAAACACAGACCAATGTCTAGTTAATTTTCCAAAATAACTCCCTTTACGTTTCCCATTCTTGATACATTTTACTCAGCGGTATTTGGGCGTGCTCAGAGTTCCTTGTATCGGGATAGCCGGTTTGAATGCTGGTATGTCGTTGTATATTAGAAGCTAACGCTGCCTATGGAGACACGCGTTTGCAGTGTCATGCAGAACGACATTCGACATTGCGTTTGGAGGACACGGACCACTAGGCTAATATTCGTGTTTTATCGGACAGATTATATATATATATATGTTATAATTCAAAAAGTTTATAAATACCATTCACCTGCTTAACAATAATTACATACAATGCACAAGCACAGGTTCTGTTTTCTCCAAGTACTTCGGCGTTCCTCAACCTACTGGGATAGCATTGCTTAAGGTTCAACAAGCCCCCTAAAACAGGTAAAAGTCACCCTAAATTTCAACCTCATGGCAAGTCATATTCAAATACATACCTTTATCACAAATCGGAATATATATATGTAATTTAAATATATTGAACATGTACATGAGCTATTAAAAAGGTATATAACCAGGTCAACGAAGTCAAAAATACGGCATTAAGGCTGATGGAATGATAAACGTTGCTCACCAGATTTATAACATGTCAATCTCTAAAGCGACCCAACTGAATGTTACGAAATGACATGTTATTTGAAGATCGTTTATATATCTAGGTCATGCGGGGCTTTATTTGTCTTTAACTATGTGTGGAGAGGCATACCGGCCTCACAAGAAGGTGATTGTTGCTATGGGAATGTACAAAAATCATAGTAAAACGTCCGCGTAACATATTTTACCGGTATATATGTGTAAAACTATAGACTTTTGACCATAAATACAACTTAAACTTCATTTAAAATGTCCTTTCTTAACATACAATGTTGTAATNATAAAATCAGCATCCTAACAATATTATAAAGTGAACGGTGAGCCATTACAAAACTTTTACGCAAACTTTAACCTGCAGATGTTGGACAAGATAGTTAAGTCCAAAACATGTCAAAAATTCCCCTAAAAAATATATTATTTTCCATTTTCAATCCACAGCATTAATGCTAGACCCCTAAAGAACCTCTATGCTAAGAATCAGCATCCTAACATCATTATTTAGCGAATGGTAAGCCATTACAAAACTTTAACCCAAACTTTAACCTGAATATTTTGGCCAGAATAGTCAAGTCCAAAACATGTCAAAAATTCTCCAAAAAATAAAATTATTTTCTATTTTTAATCCACAGCATTAATGCTAGACCCCTAAAGAACCTCTATGCTAAGAATCAGCATCCTAACATCTTTATTTAGTGAATGGTAAGCCATTACAAAACTTTAACCCAAACTTTAACCTGAATATTTTGGCCAGGATAGGCAAGTCCAATACATGACACAAATTCGCCAAAAAATGAAATTATTTTCCATTTTCAATCCAAAGAATTAATGCAAGACCCCTAAAGAACCTCTATGCTAAGAATCAGCATCCTAACATCTTTATTTAGTGAATGGTAAGCCATTACAAAACTTTAACCCAAACTTTAACCTGCAGATTTTGGCGACGGACGGACGGACGCAGACAAAACCTATAGTCCCCCCGGTTTCACCGGTAGGGGACTAAAAAGCACAATAAACCAATAGGTAGGTATATGTACAACGTATGTTTTGTAAATAGCATGTTTATACTGGTCTGATAATATTGGACGGAGGCACACCCTCACACGTCGTACAAACAGTGTCAGCTTACATATTCACTGCAAAATTGTGGGGAAATATAAGTTGAAAGGTAATTTTGTTGCCTGGTTTGACAAGTAAAGGAATGGGAGGTTCGAGTAAAGTTAATATGAAAGTCTTCTTTGTACAAACATATAAAGATTGTTCTTCATCAATTCATCAAAATTATATTGGCTGCGTATACAGATGCCGAATAGGACGAGCGTGCCACTTTACAAATTCTACTGATCAGTACTTTACCTTCGAAAAACTGGATGATATCTTGACACTTGTCTGTAAGAACATGAGAGGGTGTGTAGAAAATGGATAACAACAAAGAACTACATGAAAACGCCAGAAATACATCCGAAATCCAGTTCTCAACTATCAGTATCGAATAATACCAACAATATAAGGCAAATCATCGTATAAACAAGAAAACAAATATCTAAATAATATACTTCTTATACAAAATTTCTATATTGACAAACAACATTTGAGAATAAGTCGATCAATTTTTGTTGATTAAGAAAAAAAACTCCTGCTACAAAGCAGAAGATATGAAATACCATTAAATAACAACACCTATGTAAGGCATGGAAAGAGTGATTTTTACTAGCATATTGATATTTGATGTAAGTATAGTTTGAGTTACTACTCTTGACAAAACCAACTGTTCCGCGATAATCTGCTGGTCCAGGTGCCTATTTAGGATAGGATTTTCTCATTCTGTTATTCCAAGATATTTTTTACTGTAATTAAACATTTCAAAAAAGGAAATTGCTCAATATAAAATCAGCATTATCACACATACACAAGCATTTATAATTGTAATGAGTGAAAGTGATAGTTTCAGAAATAATTTCTACTGGGATGATTATAACAGTTTTTCTGTTAATGTGAAAAACAGGAAATAGATAACTTGGTACCGTTATCAGTATAACAGTTACACATACCAAGTATGATACAAATATATACATTGGGTGGTTAACAGTTACACATACCAAGTATAATACAAATATATACTTTGTTTGTATAACAGGTACACATACCAAGTATCATACAAATATATATATTGTTTGTATAACAGTTATACATACCAAGTATGATACAAATATATACATTCTTTGTTTAACAGTTACACATACCAAGCATGATACAAATATATACATTGGGTGGTTAACAGTTACACATACCAAGCATGATACAAATATATACATGGTTTGTATAACAGTCACACATACCAAGTATCATACAAATATATATATTGTTTGTATAACATTTACACATACCAAGTCTGATACAAATATATACGTTGTTTGTATAACAGGTACACATACCAAGTATAATACAAATATATACATTGTTCGTATAACAGTTACACATACCAAGCATGATACAAATATATACATGGTTTGTATAACAGTTACCAATCCCAAGTATGATACAATTATATACATTGTTTGTTTAACAGTTACACATACCAAGTATAATACAAATATATACATTCTTTGTTTAACAGTTACACATACCAAGTCTGATACAAATATATACGTTGTTTGTATAACAGGTACACATACCAAGTATCATACAAATATATATATTGTTTGTATAACATTTACACATACCAAGTCTGATACAAATATATACATTCTTTGTTTAACAGTTACACATACCAAGCATGATACAAATATATACGTTGTTTGTATAACAGTCACACATACCAAGTATAATACAAATATATACATTGGGTGGTTAACAGTTACACATACCAAGTCTGATACAAATATATACATTGTTCGTATAACAGTTACACATACCAGGTATGATACAAATATATACATTCTTTGTTTAACAGTTACACATACCAAGTCTGATACAAATATATATATGGTTTGTATAACAGTCACACATACCAAGTATCATACAAATATATATATTGTTTGTATAACATTTACACATACCAAGTCTGATACAAATATATATATGGTTTGTATAACAGTCACACATACCAAGTATAATACAAATATATACTTTGTTTGTATAACAGGTACACATACCAAGTATAATACAAATATATACATTGTTTGTATAACAGTTACACATACCAAGTATAATACAAATATATACATTGTTTGTATAACAGTGACACATATCAAAAATAATACAAACATATGAAAAACAAATATATTTCAAATGTGAAAAGAAGTAGCCAATTTTTGAAAATGTACGATAAAATTCCTTAACTTTAAAAACAAATATGCCACATACACTCTCACTAACAATCAGGATACCTACGCAACTAAAGTTGATAAATGTGATCTTAGTACAATCATGTATTTCAAAACAATATAACACGAAAAGAAAATTTCATTTTATGGTACCATTCCAAGTTTATGATTCAGTTTGTTCTTTGTACTTTTGACATTCCATGTCCATACTAACAAGGCTATCAGTACAAGGTGGGATTGATGTTTACAAATAGATAAGTTTGGTTAAAGTTGAGGTGACTGTGGGGATACACTCAGAACGCTTCAGTTCTGTGCCTTTATATTTGTTTGCCATTTCTCTGTTGACAATAGTAAGCAAACTGAGAAAATCCCTCCTCTTACTGTTTCCACGTTCCTTTTGCATCACATCTGAGAGTGACTTGATCAACCAAGACCCGTTCTCATCATCTGCATAGAAAAACATGTTATAATTTACACATAAATATGATGTTCAAGTTATTCATACAAATGTCTACATTTGCGATTGTGAAAAAATACATACCGGGTAATATAGTTCAGAAGGCGAACGTGGAAGTACAAGGTAAACCGTTTGATTGAAATACAATTGACCTTGAAGCTTTAAGTGACGGTTGTCTGTATTGGGATATTGTACTTCATATGATGATATACTCACAGCCTTGTTTTAGTAACCCTGACATGTGGCATACGTATACCAGGACATCAGATTCTGTCGGAAGTTTGAAAATCTTTGGTTCATCCATGTCCCCATCAGTACGTAATCGACTGCCAGGCTCTTTGTCCCATGACTGAAAAAAGTGATTCGTTTAGTTATTAGAACATTTAAAGAAACATTGCAGTTTATTTAAATTGTCCTTGCGACAGCTAAGGTCATAAGGAAACACTGTCAACAAAATTGATCGATCTATAATGTGATAAACTCCACATGGCTAGTACGACAACCCACCATTCAGGCCTCCCCTTTATGAAGACAGTGTCATCCCACTAAAATGTCATCTTCTTGATAGCATGACCACCCATACTGTCACATCATTCTGACAACGGGCTAACAAGAGGTGATTTAACAAGACCTCTGAAACAAAATAGTAGTTAAAAAAGAGAACATTGGAAGCAGGGGTCACAAATTTTGACCTCTACTGTGTCTGAAGAAGCGGACAGAGAAGAAAACTCCAATTCTGCAGACATCACATTTAAGTTCCTTCTAACGATCACACACTGGTAGAGCAGTGGAATTCTAACGTCCTGGACCAGCAACAGAGCACTGACATAGGAGTGTTTAGCCAGTCACTGAGCCAAAATATCTACAAATTGAAATACCGTAAAATTAGATACCATGTTTTGCCAATAAAGCAATATCTGACGATTGAAATGTTAGGCCTTCATCAGCTAAAGTGATATTTTCCCTGTAAAACATTTGCTCTTTCCCATTAAAATCCATATATATTCAGTAAATATTTACCCTTCAACCGTGGAAAAAACTCCATATTTGTCAAGTGAAATATTTGTCCTTCTTTAGTACAAAATATACCCAAAGGAATTTAGTGCACACCCTATAGAGGTCATAGTAGGCTCTTTCCTTTGCATTTCACTAAGCATTAGTGCACGTACCAATAGGATTCTTGCAATCTAGGAACAATTGGGACCAAGCATAGCAATTTTCATCGTGATCCCTCCAATACAGAAGTAATGAACTAAACGGTATACTATATCAATATATGGATACAAAATATGAGTTGGTGGTCATATGTCCTTTTCAAGAACAGGGGACTAGGAGGTATATCATGTTTCTTCACAATTTCTGACAAATAGCAGTAACAAGCATGAAATGTAAATAAATAGCAAAAGTCTCTCTTATGTCTAAGTCTTTTTTTCTTAGCCCTTCATCAGGGCTTGAAAGTTCCTTGCCCATATGTCACATCCATATTTGAATACAGGAGGTTCACACAAAAACAGGAAGGTTTCTTCATTGCATGCATAACTAGCAGCAAAGGATTTCTGTATAAAATACCCACAGTATTATATCTTTTTGTCATATGCACAATGTAGTTTTCCAACAGCTGACTGCTTGAACTTCAAACTCTTGCAAGTATGCATTATGCTAGTCTTTTCACTTAAGGAAATCTTTAAAATTCTTTCAATGCACATAGTACATTAATATATGTAAATAGCTCACCATTACGATGAAAATTTTTGGTTTCATCACCAAAGGCTTACAGTTGTTCCCTTGGAAGGGTTCACAAAGTTTTTCAATAGGCAATTTTTTTGTGGCTGCAGCGTTGGGATTGAAACCTTTAATATATCCACTTCCACCAAGGGCCAGGACAACGCACACAAAGCAGTCGGTATCGCAAGCCATGTCTTTTGACTCTGTAAACATATAACATATCGCCAGTCATAAAGTGTGCCATTCATCAAACTGTGTCAAAACAAGAGGCCCTGAGGCCTTCACACCTCATCTGGAATTGTATTTTCGATTTCAAACATGTTGTATACCAAAACTGTTTACAAGAAATATAAGCTGTAACAATGACTCAATCCCTTTTGGTGGGCAAGACACCAATGACATGAGTATTCTTAAAGGCCAGAAAGTTGATATGGTTATGGGGTGGAGATATGTTTCCATGTGATGACGTGCGAAGTAGGTCACTTTTGAGCAGGCCAGACCCAAAGACCAAAGTAGCAAAAGTGTATCTACCTCTCCTTCCAGGGTGGGGATTTCAACTGTTTCTATGTCGTGGCCATTGATGAATGTAAATACCCAGGGGCGAGGCTTAAGCCCAATGCCAATCCTGGTAGCATGAGTGTATTGTCTCTATACATGCTTAGCAATTGTATATTTGGTTATACGGTGGGGATGTCAACAGTTTCCATGATATGAGTCAGGTTGAAAGTACCAAGGGGTCACATTAGATCCCACAGCCAATCCTAATGGAATTAGTGTATTTGTTTCTCAATGTTTAGCAACTCTAAACATGGTTATATGGTTGGGATAACAATTGTTTCTCATCTTATAATCCAGGGAACAAGTCCCCAAGGGTGGTATTTTACTCCAAAATATCTTGGTAGCATGAGTATATTTATCACTTCATGCCTCGCAACTGTATATGTGGTTTAAGGGTGAGGATCTCAAACATCAATTATATACATTGTTATAGGCTGGGGATCTCAATGCAACAGTTTCCATGTTATGCCTTACAGAGTAAGTTCCCCTGTTAAGGTATTGACTTCTATGGCAATCATAGTAGCATGAATGTCTTGTCACTCCATACCTAACAATTGTATATATATTGTTTTAGGGTGGGGATCTCTATTGTTACCTCGTTATGGCCCAGGGACTTAGTCTCCAGGGATGGGGCTGGACCCCCTAACCAATTATGGTGGTATTAATATCTTCCTTTGATACATAGAGTAATAGGATGGGGATCTCAACCATTTCCAAAGTATAACTTAATTTCCCTATCAGACCAAACCCTTCTGCCGCCCGCACGACCACGTCCCCTGTTTATACAACAATGAATCCCATTTGCTTAACGAATGTCTACATCATATTTGGTTCAAATCTCTCCATTCATACTGAAAGAGAAGGAAATTAAATGTTTACCTATATTTCCTTTTTTGACACTGCCCCTTTTTCCAATGGGGAGCCACACCCTCTGTTTATACAAAAGTGAGTTCCATTGCCCAAGGATGATCTATACGAAATCTGGTTATAACTCTACATTGGTAGGTAGGAGAAGACTGCAAGATTAAGCTTTACCTCCATTTGTTCTATTAGACCCTGCCCCTGTACCCCTATAGGACAAACCCTCTGTTTATAGTAAATTGAGTTTCCTTCTCCTAAAGATTTTTTTAACTTAATTTGGTTAAATTCCATTCTTTTTTTTTTTTTAAATGAGAAGGATTTTAAAGATTTACCTCAATTTCCCCTATTGGGCCCTGCCGTTTATAAATGACCGCATCGGATGCCATCCCCTTTGTCAAAGGATGATCTAGACCAAATTTGGTTTAAATCCGTTCATTGTTCTGGAACGGGAAGGCTTTTACAGATTAACCTTTACCTCTATTTCTGCTATTGGGCAATGCCTTTCTGCCCCCAGGAGAACCACATCTTCTATTTACATAACAAAATGAGTCCCCTTTACCCAAGGATGCTCTAGACCATTTGGCTGAAACCCCTCCTTCTGTACGGAGGGAAAAGGGTTTTAAAGATTTAAATGTATTTCCCTATTGGGCCCTAGCCATCTGTCTATACAACACAAGGTCCCCATTTCCCAAGGATGTTCCAGACCAAATTCAGTCAAAATCCAATGAGCTGTTCAGGACTAGTAGCATTTATTGGGGAAAGTAATGCATGGACAATGGACAGATGTCAGACACCATGCCATGGCATACGTTCACCGGTCCTTCAACCCAGGTGAGATAAAAATAGCAGTCATTGTACTGTATCCACAAACATGGGTCATCATTATTTAGATATTAATGCTGAAACAAAATACACTGCACATAAATATTGAAAGGAAGCCAATAACAAAATAGTTAATAGTTTAAGATGATTTGTTTAACACTTTTGACACAACTGATATTCTAACTTTCTAATAAATTTTGATCAATATACAATACCTTTTGTCAAATCGGTTTGCAAATCTTCTATTGTCAGTTGATTTACACGTCTGACAGTGAAGCCAAATTGTTTAAGATTGTTTTCCATTAAATCAGAATCCTTTTCTCCTGTAGATTGTGAAAGGTTGTTAACTATGAGAGCCTTGCGGGACAATTCCACATCACTCTTGAAGCGGTAGACTTTACTCTGCAAGTCTTGTTGACTTCTTACAGGTAATTTTGAGCTTTAATGGCAAACAGAAAAATATTTTATGCTGATAAAGCAAATCTAAAAATCAGTACAACAATACAGCAAACTTATCAAAGAGTATTTCAAATCTAAACAGTGTTGTGCAATAAACGAACATACAGTAAAGTTCAGCAAATCTATAGAACAATATATACCAAAAGATGTTTCAGAACATTATTACAAAATCATCACCTTTTTACCTATCCTACCATAAATTAAACAGTTATCATTTTAATAAGAGTAAGAGAAATGGACGGCCAGACAAGGTTTCAAACCTGGGAACCCCCTAATTCTAGACAGAAACTCTACCAATTGAACGATTAAGTATTTAGTCGATACCGATATCGTTCAATCCAGTCCATTTCCGCTACATTCCTCCTTCCATTTTCTAAGTTTTCACCATCGCACACAACACAATTTACAATCCAGGCAAAAGTGTTCAACCAGTGTATGAAACAAGAGTTGGTCAACGGCCCAATTTGGTAATAGGAGAAAGAAAGTGCATGGCCAGACCAGGATTAAAACCTTGGACGGTCCAAACTCTCGATGTACGCTCTACCAATTGAGCTATTTGGTTGCCAGCGAACGACTTAGTCCCTTAGCTACGCTATCTTTGGTTAACCTTGTGATGGCTAGCTGAGGACAGTTTTTAACACGTAACATTCACCCAAAATCTATGGTGCATGGATTACCTGGCATTTTTACTAGGATTAGCAATCAAATCTTGCTTTACTTCAGTAGCAATAGGCTCCTTCCTTCGTTGAGAGGCATCGGCTTGATCTAGAACAACACAGAAAGGTTCTTTAAGTTAAAATCCTCTACTTCAATAATCTAGTTTTAACCAACATTTTCCCATTCATTAAGAATTCAAGCAAAACCATTGGACTGCAATTCAGTTTGTCTAAACAGAGAAAGAGTGTCATAAATAAAATGGTCTGGTGTCCACGCAAGTCTAACAAAAATAGGTTAACTGAAGGAACCGTGTAAGAGTATAGGATTGGTCGTTAGTATGGACCCTCCATAACACTGCAAATATTAGACAGAACATCCAGTAAGGAGAACCCTAGATTTGTGAATTGTGATAATAAACAGAATAATGCATTTATGTAGGCCCTGGGTGATACATGTATTAATATTCCATTAGTGTGGGCCCTGTGTGATATTGATATTCCATTAGTGTGGGCCCTGTGTGATATTAACATTCAATTAGTATGGGCCCTGTGAGATAATAATATTCCATTAGTGTGGGCCCAGTGTGATATTAATATTCCATTAGTTTGAGCCTTGTGAGATAATAATATTCCATGAGTGTGGGCCCTGTGTGATATTAATATTCCATTTGTGTGGGCCCTGTGTGTTATTAATAATCCATTAGTGTGGGCCCTGTGAGATATTAATATTCCATTAGTGTGGGCCCTGTATGATATTAATATTCCATTAGTGTGGGCCCTGTATGATATTAATAATCCATGAGTGTGGGCCCTGTGTGATATTAATATTCCATTAGTGTGGGCCCTGAGTGGTATTAGTATTCCATTAGTGTGGGCCCTGAGTGGTATTAATATTCCATTAGTGTGGGCCCTGTGTGATATCAATAATCCATTAGTGTGGGCCCTGTGTGATATTAATAATCCATTAGTGTGGGCCCTGTGTGATATTAATAATCCATTTGTGTGGGCCCTGAATAATATTAATATTCCATAGAGTTTTTCTACTACATAATCTTTCACAACAATTATAGAAGTCTACAAATGTATAAGGAAACATCCACTTAAAATCATGAGTTTTAAATATTTTAAAGAATAAATAGAATACAAAAAAGTCAACACCATGAATTCTTTAATAAGCTTGTATCAATCATATCTTGATTAACCTCATTTCCATAAATAACACATTCTATAGTTGTTCCTAAAACAATATATACATAAATTATGTTTTCAGGGCCAATAGCTGAGACAATGAGTGGTGAAGTTGTGTGTCATATCATTCAGTATACAAAATGCCTTGGTCAATTTACATCTTAAATGTAAGCTATATAGTGTAAATGTCAGTGTGGGTAGGTGTGCTATATAGTGTAAATGTCAGTGTGGGTGTGTGCTATACAGTGTAAATGTCAGTGTGGGTTCTATACAGTGTAAATGTCAGTGTGGGTGTGTGCTATACAGTGTAAATGTCAGTGCGGGTGTGGGTGCTATACAGTGTAAATGTCAGTATGGGTGTGTGTGCTATACAGTGTAAATGTCAGTGTGGGTGTGTGTGCTATACAGTGTAAATGTCAGTGTGGGTTCTATACAGTGTAAATGTCAGTGTGGGTGTGTGCTATACAGTGTAAATGTCAGTGTGGGTGTGGGTGCTATACAGTGTAAATGTCAGTGTGGGTGTGTGCTATACAGTGTAAATGTCAGTGTGGGTGTGTACTTTACAGTGTAAATGTCAGTGTGGGGGGTGCTATACAGTGTAAATGTCAGTGTGGATGTGTGTATTACCTCATGTTTTTCACCCAGTATGACATCAGGATTAAGACAATGGACATGACATCACAGCACTGTGACATCACAATGTTCACAAAACAATACACTCTGGACACCAAGATGGCAACACCATAGAATTTAGGCTTGTGGGTTGAAAACAATCATCCCCTGCTCTACCCATTTTGTAACCACCCAGGTCAAAAATTTTAACATTTTAACTGAAACATATCTTATACAACTTCAGAAAAAAGAATTACCTTGCTTCAACGTATGCTAAAGATTTAGTATCCAATCATCATGAGAAAATATTTCTGACTTTCTGTGATTCCTTGAAAGAAATGGTTACCCAGTCCAAATAGAATTGAATCCAAATATCAAGTACTTATATAATGATTAGTAAGAATTGTACCTGCTGCCCCCGTGGCATGATCGTACGAGGTGACTAAATTTGGGATTTTATCTTTTCTCTTCTTTCTGAACAACTTTCTTTTTCCTAATGTCTTCCTTGACAATGCCTCACTTTTGGCCTTTAGTTGAGCATTCGCCACTGTGAGGAAGGCTTTGGGTTCTGTCCCCTGGCCGAGTCAAAACAGAGTCTGTAAAAATGGTAGTTTTTACTCGTGCTTAACGCTCAGCAATTTAGGAGTTGGACGCCTAGTTCGCTCGTTGTCAGTATATGTGACTGGGTGGGGCGTCCTGCTAGGTGTCTTCGGCAGTATGTTTCAGTGAGGTAGCACTATAAAGTCGGCATCAGTTCTGCGCTATCACAAGGAGACGAACATGAACATATCGCAGCCTCCCAAAACAACCACGCATACACTACACGCATGCATCTTGCACACAGGGGAGGCCGTCCTTAAATGGCCATAGCTGTTGATAGGACGTTAAACAATACTAAACCAAACCAAACCAAAGATCAACAAATAAAGTTTCACATATTGAAAAAAAATAAGTCCATTGACAAAGTTCAAAGTACACACCACAGAGGAGGATTAGAATTAAGGGATGAGATGGGGTGTTTATTGTAACGATACACCATAAATACACTATTTCTTTACTTTATCTGTGGTTTTGACATATTGAGATATTAATATTCATAATAATAAATAAATAATGAAATATCCATTTCAAATGCATTTACATTACATTTTACATTATTGCCGGGGGGGGGGGGGGGGGGGGGTCACCTTCACATACATTGTTATTCGTTTAAATCATTTCATATATTGAAATGACTCAAAAATTGATTAAATGACGAAGCTAGATGGCACCAAAGAAGGCTTTTAGCAACAACAACAACAACAATTGCTTTTCTTTGAGGAGTACACATCACTATCACATATGAAATATCGTGTTTTGTCTGAATCCCAAAAACAAACTTCCTTTGATGCTACTTAAACCACACTTGTAGGTCAACATGCCCGACATCCTGTTATTAACTTGTAAGAAGGAAGTAATATAATGTTAGTGAAATCCCGAGTTTCTATCGGGTCCCTTCAACAACCATTACATGATATATAGGTCCATGTATACAGAAAAAGGCTTTGTAAAAGTCGTGTATGTCTGAACATTAGAAATATTTCTTCTTTATACACTTACCCGTCATCCTAGCTACTTTCGTTTTGACAAAGCCCAAGTATCTAACAGGCACCAGTCGTGAAACAGCTCTTTGTTTACCGAAATATACTTTCCTCTCAAGTAATTTTAGTTGTACTTCTGTTGGTTGTCGCTTGGTATAACACTAATCGGTCGGAAAGTTCATATCCTGGGTTAATTACAAGCACTGCGACAGCAATACAAACATTGAGACTGCTTATGACAGACACGAGCCTAGTTATTAATAGCGCATTGTATATAAATATCTCTTCTGAGAAAGTACGTATATATATATAGAATAATCAAAGTACTGAAGGTTCTCCAGACACATGCTTTCTTAATCATAACATTTTAGGAAAAACGAACGCCATTTAAAGTTGCTGAAAATGATGTGAACGAATATTTACTCTTATCTAATGTCTGTGTTGGCAATAGTCTGAAATGTATTTTCCCTCCGAGAACCAACAAGTACTGCTTCAAGAAGCTTTGGGCTCTGCTTCTGCGCCATAAATAAAGAGTTAACTTCCGAATGAATAATTATATGACTGTTGCAATATCTCCTTAGTGCCTATTGGTAGAGGGTGAAACATATATTTCCTTCAGACCAGCAGCAGTGCACGTGTGTCACAAATGTCTTTAGGTCAACTAGGATGTTGCCATGGTTCATATGTCAGTATACACCTCCTCGTATGATTATGTTAATAGTAACAGCATAAAACTTAAATCAATTTCTATATCCTCCATCCGGGGACCGGTGGAGGACTAATTATCATTGTGTCATAAAACAACAATCTCAGTGCAAAAAAAATTGTAATACATGAATCACATCAAACTTCAGTTATCATTTTTTATGCAAAAAATAGGGTAGGCTTGTGAAAGTGATTTTGAGTTCATATTTTTCTGAAATTCAAAATTTCCTTTTCTTACGTTCGTAAATTAGGGGTATAGTATGGAATCATTCTACAATAAGTCAGTCAAGTGTATTGTGTGTTATCATGAAATGTGCTGAGTCAAAAGGTAATCACAGTCCCCAAAATTTTCCAAGTTTAGGGTCAGTTAAGCTTAACCATTGCTTGCTAATTTCACATCATGTGAAATGTACTAGACTTGCCAGGTAAATTTCCATGGACAGTTACATGCTGCGTTATTACTAATAGTATATTATATACAGATTTTCAAGCCTCTTGTGGTTTAATACTGCTCTGTAAGTTACAGAAGTATTTGATACACAAACAGTTATGCCAGTGGTCTTGGACGGTTAAGACCAGGGTGGGGGTGGGGGTTCTCCTCAGCAAATACATCTTAAAGAAATTTTGTATCGGAAAGTCCCTCCATCCTTCATAACTTCCTCATTTAGATATCTTTCTTCAAATAGGTGGCAATTTTCAACTTTAACATATTTGGATTTTAATATTGGTTGTAACCTAAAATAAAGTTCTGATTTCAGAACATACCAACACGAGGCTCGATACCCAAAAAGGGGGCCCCATTAGCTGTTGCAAAATGCACCAACCAATGAGGAAAGTGACTAGGTGGGGAGGATATGTGAGGGAGCTATGGCCTCAACTAGAAGGGAGGTCTCCATCAAGGAAATTATTTTGATGAGAGATCATGCATATGTGATAAAATGGCTTTGATGGACACTTCTGAATCCATATTGGGCCACAACTGCACAGCATGTATACGATGTCTGGCAATCATGCAGTCCATTTAATGATCAAGTGTTAAATCTTTATTGCAGATAATAATATTTTCAGTTTCAATCCAGTTGTTTTTTGATAATTGCAGCCTCTTAGGTTTTATTCACAACTTCCAAAGCTTCCTGTGCTGCCTGAAATACAAGAAATAATACATCATTTAATGTTTTGGTTGTTTTCATTGTTACAAAGTTTATTATTTTATATAATATTTAGCAGTCATTTTTATTAGTCATGCTTTTTCCATGTTCACAACAGTTTTTATTATATTTTCTTTAGAACTGACCAGGGGCGGATCCAGATTTTTTCGGACAGGTGTTACCATTCCAGTTTTTTTTGCTACGCCTATAATCTGAACCATATAGGGTTGCACAAAATTAAGTTAGATACCTGTCTTGGCTAGCCACCTTCTGTCTGTATCTGTATCTGTACGTTGTAGTACCCGGTTCCGGGTTTTTTTTACAACGGAAGAGAGAGAGCAGTTCAGTTTGATTTTTGGTGCGTTATTGCACTCTTAAAGGCCTCCAAATTAGGGGCACATACTACGTCATCTTCCAGGTGGTTCCATTCTATAACTGTACGTACGAAGAATGAGTTTTTGTATTGATCACAGTTGTACTTTGGTACTGTATAAGATTTTGTGTTATTTATAACAGATGCTTCCACCACATTATTCGATATATAGTCCGAGAAGTTTCTGGCCTTGATGTTCCATTTTGGTCTGTTTTTTGTTAGATGTTCAGCTGGAGGTATAGCTGGTATCAACCCCTCAACCACCTTGTACATAAATGTGAGCCTCTGTTGTGCTCGCCTGACCTGGAGTGTTGGTAGTTCGAGTTTCTCCAGCATCCTTGTGATACATCCATCTTCCCTGGATCTATAGTCATTTGAGATGAATCTGGCTACCAAGCGCTGTATTCGTTCCAGTTTGTCAGTTTCTTTTTTGGTATAAGGGTCCCAAATAATGGCGTCGTATTCAAGGATGGATCGCACTAGGGATATATGCTGTTTTCTTGCAAGACGATGGGCAGTGTTTTAGGTTTCTTTTGGGAAAGCCAAGGGTCGAACTAGCTCTCCTTGCTATTTTTAGTATGTGGGTGTTCCACTTGAGGTCATCTGAAATTGTTAGTCCAAGAAAGGGATTATTTTTCACTTGTTCCAAGATATGTCCATTTAGGGTGTAGAATCTGTGACTTTTTTCTTTGATGTTCATAACATAGCATTTTTTGGTGTTGAATTTCATTCCCCATCGGTTAGCCCATTTTTCCAGGTTGTTTAGGTCGTCCTGTAGTAGTTGGTGGTCACTGTACTGGTTGATTTGTCTGTATATCAAACAGTCATCGGCGAACAGACGTATGCTAGAGGTTACACTTTCTGGTAGGTCATTTATATGGCACAGGAATAATAGTGGCCCAAGCACTGTCCCTTGTGGTACCCCGGAGTCAACGGTTACTTCTCTGGATGTTTCTCCCTCTAGTGCTACTCTCATCTGCCTTTGTGTCAGGAAATTGGAGAGCCAGCTGTGGAGGTTTCCTCTGATGCCGTAGTTATCCAGTTTATGGAGTAATAATTTTTGGTGGGGGACGGTGTCGAAAGCCTTAGAGAAATCAAGAATTGCTAGATCGACCTGCTTGTTGCTATTGAATGATTTTAGGAGATCGTCCATAGTGACTGATAGTTGGGTTTCACAAGAAAATCCGGAACGTAATCCATGGTTTAAAGATGTTAATATATTATATTTTTCAAGGTGGTTTAACAAGTGTTTGCAGATAATGTGCTCCAAAAGTTTACAGGGTACTGATGTTAATGATACTGGCCTGTAGTTTACAGGGTACTGATGTTAATGATACTGGCCTGTAGTTTTCTGCTGCATGTCGGTCTCCTTTTTTGAATATACAGGAAATATTTGCTCTGAGCCAATCTGATGGTAGTAGTCCTGAATTTAATGAACATTGGAATATTGCAGTTAATCCTGGTGCGATTTGTTGGGCACACTCTTTTAGGATTCTGTTTGGGATGTCATCTGGACCTGATGCTTTGGCTGGGTTGACTTTTCGAAGTAGTTTTGTTACCCCCTCTTTACCAATGGTTAAATCACCAAATTTTGATTTTACATTTTTGGTTGTTGGAGGCATATTGTTTGAGGCTTTGTCATCGACAATGAACACGGATTTAAATTAGTATTTCTGCTTTTCCCTTGCTGTCGCATGTTAAGGTCCCTTTGTTTTTAATTGGGGAGACTCCCATGTTGTCTTGACGTTTAGACTTTCAAAACATGTTACCTTGTACTTTCCCAACTTGCATTTTTTTAAGTAAAATGCCAGAGTCGAATGAATCATGAATATTTACATGTATTTCAATTTTCACCAGAAAAAAACAACAACCTGTTTATCCATCATGCAAGAAAAAGATTCTCTGATTAAAAACTTAAAATTTAACACTTGTACCCTGTTACTACTACGGACCACCGACCTTACAGGGGGGTGTTCTCGTTTCCCCCACTTTTTATATAACAAAAGAAAGTGTTGATTAAGGAAGACAATGGAACTGACCATATAGTCTGTTTCATACTTACCCCACAGGTAATTTACCTGTGTGAAAGTTACCTGTGTGAAAGTTACCCGTGTGACTTGTAGCTTTGTTGTATATGTTGGGTATAAACAAGGTTTTAATACTTTTTGGGGGTTCAAATATCTTTTATACTTAAACATATGTAGAGTTTACAGTAAAATATCTACATTACACTTTTAAACAGATAATATAGAACATAACAGCACTACATAAGAGTTCACAATCGAGTATTTCGTACTTATACATAATGATTACATTTCAATTATATTACAATTTGTAAACATACAACCGTCAATGCATATTAATTATATCTATTTATATTACACTGTTTAGGCCACCAAATTCAAGACAACTTAACTTTAACATTACATTTCAAAACATGTTAAGAAGTTAAATCCATCAATATAAACTGTACATTACATTTACTAATCACACAATACAAATACATTAACAATATTCACATATTAAGAATAGTAAAGGTTAGTAATAGCAATCTCAAATTGGCCCCCCTCAAATTTATATAACATCTCCAATTTAAAGTCCAAGTCCAACAGCCAAGAGGCACACAATTTTGTTGTTATCTATCCCAAATGTAAGAGATGTGATGCTGCATTGGCGTACTCCATAAGATCCATCGTCTGGTTCTCAAGGCGCTCCTTCAGCTAGATCTGTCGGCTGCTGATGTTTCGGTATCGTTTCTCGCGTTGTCTGTTGACTCCTCCTGCATCTCGTTTTATCCTGTTGATCTCGTTGGCTGCCTGAATTTCCTGGAACACTCTGATGATGGCGAAGATGTTTGGGTGTGTATGGTGAACCTTCTTCTTCAACTTCCCGTGCCAGGCCTCTAGGTGATTGGTGGTGCGGGGTCCTTTAGTTTTGTAATGGTTCCAGATATGACGATCTCCCTCGATCCACTGGGTTACGACGTAGTCTGTGAAAGGTGTTGTGTTCACGGGTAGGTCAGCATCCTCAAGTTCACCTAAAGCGTTGAACCACACATCGTCCACACTTTCCAGGGGCACCAGCAGGGGTAACACTGCAGCCAAGATCACAAGTCGATTGATGTTGTCGTTCTCTCTGTAAAGTTGTTGAAGTCCGGTCTGCTGGGCCTTCCTCCATATGCAATGCGTGAGGTGGAAAAAACAGACCTGGATGGAAATGATAGCTTGGATAATTATAGA